CTAGAACTGAACTAGAACGACTAGAACTGAACTAGAACTAGAACTAGAACTGAACTAGAACTAGAACTGAACTAGAACTAGAACTGAACTAGAACTGAACTAGAACTGAACTAGAACTGAACTAGAACTGAACTAGAACTAGAACTGAACTAGAACTGAATTAGAACTGAACTAGAACTGAACTAGAACTGAACTAGAACTGAACTAGAACTGAACTAGAACTGAACTAGAACTGAACTAGAACTGAACTAGAACTGAACTAGAACTGAACTAGAACTGAACTAGAACTGAACTAGAACTGAACTAGAACTGAACTAGAACTGAACTAGAACTGAACTAGAACTGAACTAGAACTGAACTAGAACTGAACTAGAACTGAACTAGAACTGAACTAGAACTGAACTAGAACTGAACTAGAACTGAACTAGAACTGAACTAGAACTGAACTAGAACTGAACTAGAACTGAACTAGAACTGAACTAGAACTGAACTAGAACTGAACTAGAACTGAACTAGAACTGAACTAGAACTGAACTAGAACTGAACTAGAACTGAACTAGAACGAACTGAACTAGAACTGAACTACTAGAACTGAACTAGAACTGAACTAGAACTGAACTAGAACTGAACTAGAACTGAACTAGAACTGAACTAGAAATAAATCTCACTATATATTTTGTGTAACATTTTTTATGAATTCTTTTGTGTATAGCAGTTTCTTAAGACCTAATACGTAGGGTATCTAACAATCATAAGAACCATTTACTTTTATAACTTTACAATTGCCTTTTTCTGGTCATCTTAAAATGACACTTTTTATATCATGAAAAGTTTGTTTCCGATATTTATGTGCAATATTAAATATTTTAAGCAAAAATCAATTGAATATTTATCAATACACTGTAACTTGAAATAGTATAAATATAGTATTTATAAGAAGGAAAATAAATAAAAATAGTTCTACATACTTATTTATTTCTAAGAATGTCAACTATATAAAAAGTGCCTTTAAACAAAATTTTAAAAACATTTTAAAGAAACTTAATATTATATTAATTTTAAATATGTACTTAGTTATAACAAACAACTATAAATTTCGTATTCCTTCTTTGTCTATAAAAAATCCCTGAATTAAATTTCAACTTAAACACAACCGTTTGAAAGTGTAATCTACATTTTTCCTAAAAATGTTTAAAACCTATAAAATACTCCCATGTTCTAATGCTATTACGCCCGACATTCTACTAAACTAATTGTTAACAAATAAAAATGCGTATCAAATACCTTGAATAAATTTTTATTTAAAACTACAAGAACGACTTTTATTTACATTTGTTCATACAAACAAAATATGAGTAGTTGTTGTGGTGTTTTATTAAAAATTCCTATACAATCATACAATCTAAACAAGTTCAAATAAATCACTAAAATTTCACAAAAGTTTTTGTAAACAATAAAAAAACGAATATAAATTCACAGAAACAATAAGTTTATCTGTTGTTGTTGTTGTTGTTGTTACTATATATAGGAGATGGAATATTTAGAAAACGTAGGGGTAAAATATTTAACAATCTAAATCTATATGGCTTTTATCTAAAAACACAAGAGTTAAATTTAACTAACTACAGGTTTAAGTATGTATACAGATACACCCTCATAACCCAACAGACACACACTTGCATACCCCATGTAAACAATTCAAAAACAACGGAAGCCAAATATCAACAATATCAACTAAAACAATCATACTTACATACTATATTAACAAGCCCTCAACATCACAACAACAGCAACAAAATCACCAACAATAACAACACCCAGCAGCAACAACTTGTTAACAAGGATGCCTATAAATTTAACAATACCATATTCTGACATATGTACATACATATGTATGTATGTATACTCACTCACTCATACACTTACTAGACATTACACTCATTCTCTATTAGTTACCGTTACAAAGTCTCTGACACTCACATTCAATCCCTTCCCAGCAGTTCGGCCGGACAGTCCCGAACTACCCATTTAACCTACCACTTAGCCAACAACCGCCCAGTTGACTAGCTATTTTAACAAGTGCTTGTCCTGCGAGGAAGTCAATCGTCACTCTATAGATTTCTAAGAGAGAGACCAAAAGCGTAAGTTGGTTTGTTAAGTGTCTAAAAGGGGCCACTAAAATAACGATTATCTTCACCCCTGTTTACAAAGAGTACATCCGTGAATAAAGACGAATTAGAGCCAAGCAGGTGGCTAGACGTTAGTGGAAATCACTGTCTTTCTGGATGCTTTGACTCTTTGTCGAACCTGCTGGGTTGCTTCAGTTTAATTTACTTGTTGCAAATACAGTCGAATTTAAACAAATTCAGAATATCTGATAAGAACTGAGGAACTAGTTAAAATTTCGGATGTTGGAAAATTTTAGTTAGTTAGTTAGTTAGTTAGTTAGTTAGTTAGTTAGTTAGTTAGTTAGTTAGTTAGTTAGTTAGTTAGTTAGTTA